TGTGTGCTGTTTTAAGCCACTAAATCTGTGGTAATATTCACAGCAGCAATACGAAGCTAATGCATTAGACATTTTTTTTAATGGCAGGAGCATGGGCTCTGAAGCCAGCTGGGGCTGCTTTTCTGGTCCTCTTCAGCTGAGGAACCTCACACCTTTCTTTTTCTGTGCAAATAATACTATTGATTGCTCCTACGTCATGGCTGTGGCTTTCGGATTTGGTGAGCGGCCGCATGGCTCTGAGCCTGGTCTCCTGTAACTCCTCTTCTTGACCAGAGGCCCTGCAAGTGTCTTGCAGACTGTAGACAATATATTATTTGTGGAAGGATAAATGCATTTCATCAAATGATGTTCCATAAGAGACTTCATCGTTCCTCTCTGTTTAGGACACTGGAGTTTCTCCCCACGTTCTTTTTTTGCTATCGTAAACAAAATTTGAGAATCTTTGTGCATACAGCTTTAAAAAAAAAAAAATTAGTCTTCTACTTCTCCAAAACCAGAGCTCCCGTTGGCTGCAAGTATGGTGCTCACACACACACAAGATGTGCTGCAGACAGCTGTCTTCAGTGTAGGGTGGTTCGGCTCACCCAGCAGCTGGGCACCAACCGGGCCAGTGAGCCCACCACGTGGCCTTGCCTGGCTGGGGCTGGAAGGTGGGGAGAGGAGAGGAGGCGGACTGGAAGCTGTGTCCCAAGGCACTTTGCTGAATTCCCTTCCTGGGCTGTGCTTCCCCTGGGCTCCTCCACCAGGGCAAGGGGTGTGGGGGGACACCCAGGAAAGGGAGACTCGAGAGAGGGAGCGATGATCCTGCAATCGTCTGAGCCAAGGAAGCCTCTCCCTGACGCAAGGGAAGCGTCAGGGGCCAGTTCAGCAGCTCCCGGTGGTGCTGACCAGGGTGAACGCATCGCAACCACCCTCCCTCCTGGCGCACATCCAATAATGGTGCTGCGCCGGCTGTCCCACCTATGCAGGGCGGTAGGGGTCTCCCCAGCTGTCGGGGGCGGCGAGAGACACGGAGCCCTGAGAGGGCAGGGACACAGGAAGTGAGAAAGCAAGCGCCCGTTCTCTGCAGGGCCACCCCACTTTCCAGGTGGCATCCATTTGCCGATGCCCCTAGAGGCCGCAGGACCTGAGTCTGCAAGGGAGAGGGGAGGAGAGGGTTGTGAAGTGAAGCCAGCGAGAGAACAAAGAAGGCTTTGCTGGAGAGGGAGGCACCTTCAACTAAGGCCTCGGGGGCTTGGGGAAGTGACTCACTGGGCCCCCCGGGGAAGGACCCACCCATGGGGTTCCTAGAGCCTGAGAATGCAGGCCAGCTGCTGGGCACAGGCCCCATGGGGTGGGGAAGGGGTTGTCAGTCTCAGCCTGAGTTGGGTGGAGCCTCCCCCAGGGTCCGCCCTCCCCTACCACCTGACCGGTGTGGGTCCTGCCTGGGGGCCTGGGGCGGCGGGGGGGGGGGGGGGAGGGGGTAACGCTGTGCTCGCTGGCCTGCCAGACAGGGCGGTTGCCACCACCACTGCTGCTCCTGCAGCTTGGGGTGTGGGGGGGCTGCAGGCAAGGTCCCCTCTCCCCAACTCACACTCCCATTGGCCCAGCTCCTAGACACCTGGGCTCCCCAACTCTCGGCAGAGCCCGCTGAAGCAAGGCCATCAGTGCCCCCCAAAGGTGGCCGTGTTGGCGTCTGGCCCTGTCCCCTGTGATGAGAACCTGGAGAGCCCCGGCTTCTCGGGCAGTTGCACAACCTCCCCCAATTATGCTCCGTCGACTGTGTGGCAACCGGGCGAGAGTTCCAGGACCTTGTATATACTCGTACGAATCTGCCTTCCTGCTGTTGGGCTGCAGGGCGAGGCGTGTCTCTGTGGGCCCCAGGAAATGGGGGTGTGTTCGCGTCCAAGAGGGCGTGGCCCGCGTCCGGAGTGGGAGCAGCCGCCCCGCCCCGCCGGAGCAGACTCCTCGCCCGCCCCAAACCGCAGCTTCCTCGGGAGCCCTGGACCGGGTCCAGGACACGGAGGAGGAAGCTCTGGTGACATTGTAGACACAGGCTTCCAGCAGCCGACTTGGCCAGGAGCAACTGGAGGAGGCGGCGCACCTCCGGCCGTCCAGCCAGGGACGCGGAGCGGGGCGGGGGGCTCTGTTGGCCGGGGAGGGGCAGGGCGGCACCGCGGGCATCCTCGCAGGCGCTTGGCTTGGGCGTCCCGGCCCCTCCCTGGCTCCGCCCCTGCTCTTTAAGTCTGTCCGGGTCTGGGATGTTAGTGTGAGGAGGTCCTGGGAGTCAGGCCCTGGATGACCCAGCTGTTACCGTCCCCGAGCCATGGCCCTGGGGCCAGGAAGAGCGTTGTCCAGCGTGGCCACCAGGCCCAGAGATGGCTGTCAGGACCGGCTGTTGGACGATGTAATGGAAATAAAGACAAAAATCCAAATGCAGCTGACCTCCAGCCCTCTCCTTTGTGTTTCCTGCGGGAGTGTGCCTACCTCTGTCTCTGGGTCTCTCATTAGAATTTCAGAGAAGGCTTGTTCGCCATGGAGGTGTTAGTGTTGAAGCCTGATTGTTGGCTCTATGCTCAAATCAAGGAATTTAGGGGTAATCTGTGTTTGATGTCATGATAAACTCAAAAACTGTAATATGGAAAGTTCTCTCCCAGATAAATTTACAGAGCCTCAGGTAAACAATCCTTGTGGAAAAACAAATGTCTTCTCTCAGTCTCATGGGATGTCTGGTCCCCAAGCACCCACAGTGGCTGGCGCATGCTGGCCATCCATCAGTGGCACCCAGCAGGTGGTTGGGAAGATAAGGATCTTTGCAGTTAGCAGGGACCCTTTGGCTGGCCGGTGTCGGAAGCCTCAGCAGCCTCACCAGCCCACTCTTCAAGTCAAAGTTATATGACCCTAAAATAGCACAAATACTGTCCAAGACATCCTTCCACTGGGGGTAGGAGGGTAGGACTAGAAACACAGGGGCCTCTGTCCCTGTGAACAAACAGCTACCGGACAGGCAGCCACGCCCGGCTACGCATCCCCAGCAGTGCTCCCCACTGCCCACAGCCCTGAGGTTTGAAGAACGCACCATGGCTCAGGCAGGTACCTGGTTTGTCTGGCTCTGGGGTTTGGGGGAAGAGAGCCGCCATTCAGTGTTCCCAATAAGATGGGCCAGGGGGATGGGGTGGGGTTGGAGGGGCTGCCTAGGGGCTGGGGTCTCCCTTCCACTGAAAGCTCACTGGGAAATGCCCTTGGACTTACAGGGCCTTGAGGGCAGGGACTGAAGCCAGGGGCTGTGAGGTCCAGGGAGAGTCCCTCATTAGCCTTCCTTTTCTGTTCAACCTCATTGGGGTTGGGTTTCACTTGGGTCACTTTAGAACTCTGTCACTGCTAGTCTTGCTCCTGGCAGGAAGCTGCCCTTCCCTGCCACCAATACCTTTTTCTTTCTCTTGGTCCAGAAAGGCTTACTCCATGGGTCCCAGTCTCCGGGCAGGGCTTCTCTCCACATGGAGCCACCTCCTTTGGATGGGGCTGCGGAAGCAAAGAGGGTCTGCCATGTCCTCATCACATTTGAGCCAAGACCAGCATTGTGTAGCTGTCTTGAATTTGTGGCCCCACCCACCTTAAAGCCAATGGAAGTTATGGCCATCAAACTGGACATTAGTTTCTACAACAGCCCACGTTAGCCCAGGTGTCAGGTTCAAAGCCAGCAGCTGCCCTGTCTGGACAACAGTTGTCCCTCTGTCTAGATTGCCCATTGGGTTGAACCAAGGGTTCTTCCTCAAACTGAAGATCCTCTGGCTGCTCCCATTTTTGTATGTCCCACCTTGTCACCTGCTTAGGAGAAGCGCCAATCTTGTGTGTCTTAGTGTGCTCTAGGGTCACCGTAGCTGTTTTCCTGTCTCTGGAGAGTCAAGAGGAAGGACAGGGCCCAATGGGCTGGGGCCATCTTAGTTGATAGTTCATCTGTCCAGAGAACACAGGTCTGCCTCCTGAATGGGATAAAGGGTAGCCCCCCAACCCTAGGCTCATTAGGCTCTGCTGGGCTCAGCCAAATTAGTCCTCCCTCCCCTACTGCTCATATCTGTGCTTCTCTGCCCATTTTCCAAATGTACTGGTTTGGTTCAAACATACATACACACACACACACACACACACAAAATCAATATAGTGCAAAAGGCCTACTGTACCCTGAACACAGGGACCAGGGCTGGGGGTTTGGGAGAGACGAAGGAAGCCATGCCTTCACTGCCCTTGTTCCCAGGTCTACCAGCATGGGTGCACGCTAGGTTGGGGGGGACTATGCAGCTGCTTAGGGCCCAGCCCTCCATGGCAGCTCCTCAGATCAGGTCTAGGATTTGGGACTTGGGCTGCTCAGGGTCCCATTCATTGGCCAAGCTAAGTCCCAGGTGTGAGCAGTGATGGTTTCAGAATCATCTAGATCACCTTCTTGTGGCTGCCTCCATGGATTAGAAACAAAGCACTAGAGCTGCATGCGTAATTTATAAAATAGCCTTTATTTATTCTAAGGAACACAGTCAAGGGGTAACTTAAAAAAAAAAAACAACAAACACACTTTTTAAAAGATATTTAGTGTTGTGACCTGGCTTCAAGCCCCGTGTGAGCAGGACAGTGGCAAAAGCCACGTGCCGTGGCTTGGCCGGTTCTCCCCTGCCCTGGTGGAGGTTGGGCAGTGTTGGCCGAGCTCTCTCTCCAGTTGCTTATCATAAATAACCAGTTTTGAGGCTCCTGAAGAACAGAAGAAACATTTATGCTTCTGGTATTTGATCAAAAGATTACTTAGAATATAGTCATTCCAGAAGTAGAAAAATGTTTTAAAGGGACCACTAATTTGTGCTGTTTATGGGGACTCCATATATTAGAATTTTAGCGTTACTGTGGGAGCATCGGATATCTCTACAGATTCAGAAATTGCCAATTTATGTGAAATGGACTTCCTGATTTTACTTAATTAGTAAAGACATAGGAGTGACAGTTACTGTTTTCGTTGTTGTTTTTTTCAGCACGACGGTCTAATCAAAAAGAGAGTTTGCTTGAAAATGTTAGGGGATCTCCAGCCACCAGTAACCATCCTGGCTATCATACCAGAAAAACCCCAAACACAGGCAGCACTCAGCTGTTTCCACAAGACTTCCTTTCTAATAAGCACACTTTCTCTCCCTCTCAGACGTGAGCCTCAGATGCCAAAATGCAGATGTGCCAACCGTAGGCGCGTTGCTAAGCAAAGAAGGCTAGTAAGTCTGTCCCGCAAATTAGATTGTACAGCGGATGGCGTCTGCTTTGTGGCCTCTGACGGGATGAGGCTCTCTGTGCTCCCGTCCTGCAGGCAGGTTGAAGCTGGTGCCCCTTACCGGGCATGTAAAAGGGTCCTCGTGGGTTAGAACATAAGGGCTTTGAGGAAAAACACAAAAAGACTTATTAAAACGGGAGGCCTACCCCTGGAAAGAGGCACACTGAGACCTTGTTCCGTGCTCCGCTGGCCTATGGTTCTCATGCCGGGGGCTGCGAGGACCCCGGGATGGACGGAGCCATGGCTGGCCACCTTCTACTGCTTTGGGGGGTGCTAAGAGGACGCCGACCTCAACCCAGAGCCAGGGAGGGAAAAATCTCAAACATTTAAGACTAGGTTCAAAAGCCCCCGGAAACCTTCTGTCTGCCTTCCCCCTGTATGGCATCTGGTTCGGGCCTGTGAATCAGAATTCAGAATCTGTGCTGCCCAGAGGGGACAGGCACAGCAGAGAGGAAACACCCAAATGTAATAAATAACGGCCGCTTGGGACCCTGCCCCTTCCCCTCCCCCAGCTAGGGCTGCGTGGGAGAGAGGGGTCTGTTTCTTCCCGATTGGGGGGGACCCCGCCCCCAAACCACCCCACACTCCGCACTGCGTGCCAGGCGGGATCCGGCTGTCGCTTCTGCACAGGACGGAGCCTGAGTCGTTTGCTTTAGAGCATCATTTATGGCATGAACTAGGAACGTAATGTGTTTACACACACACACAATTGTACATCGGCATCTTTACATTAAAGGAGTCATATACAAGTCTGCAGGCATCATACACAGCGCGGGGCCGGCTGGGGTGCCCCTCCAAGACTTCCCCACCCGGGCGGAGCCAGCGCGGGGAAGGGGGACAAGGGAGGGGTGTCCACCTTTGTGCCTGTTGTCTGGGAGGACCCCTCGTGGCCGGTCCTTGTTGGAATCCGGAGCCCAGAGCCCCAGGTACGCCTTGTGTCCCAGTCTCATCGGCAAGCTAGTGTAACAGTTTCATTCAAATTCAGTGTGCATATTAGTGTGGGAAAAGTGGAGCTGGGGACGGCTTCCTGAGCTGGGGACCCAGAGGATGCTGCTGACACATGGGCCCCTTCACCATGGGGCCCATTCCTGAGGTAAGGATGCGGTGTGGCCCCGTGGCTGGTCTGGATGGGGAGAGACTTCTGCAGAAGCCCAGGTGAGGACACTCAGACAGGACTGGAAGCCCCTGGGGCATTGGTAGGTCAGGTGACTCACCAAGTGTGGCCTGCACCCTGGGTGGCAGCAAAGGGGAGGGTCTCAGATGGTTCCAGAGCCATCCATCCCCCACACCCACACAGCCCTCCTCCCGGCAGCCCTGCCCCCTGGGGGCCCTGCTTCAGTTCCTACGGCATTGCCGCTCTTGCGTCTGTCTCTGGAGCAGGGACCAGAAGTCTCCAAGCCCCACTCTGCGGGCACCTGCGGGGGGGCACACTGCCCGTCCAGCTACGAACGGAGCACCAGATGAAGAAGCGTTGGTCCTTGTCAGCCTCTCTGGCTTGTGCAGTTAGTTCCTTCCATCTTAAATAGTGTAGAAAAATAAGCCATCTGTGACACAAGGAGACCCAGCGGAGACTGCCACGCGTGGAGAAGGATGAACGGCTCCCCCGGCGTGGGCCCGGAGGCCTCTGCTGACCCTGCCTCGGAGCAGGCCGCGCCGGGCCAGGGAGCCGAAGTGCCGGGAGAACTGTTCCCACCGCAGCAGCTTTGGGTCACATCAACGGTCCTTCGGTGGGCGTGTCTCCGGCATCCCACGCGCTGTTGCCAGGATACCTGCGGCTCCCCGGGCTGGCTCTGGACCCTCCAGCCCCACCCTCAGTCTCATGCCCACTGCTGCAGGCAGAGGCAGAACTCCCCAGCACTGTTTCCAGGTCCCTGGGGTGTCCCCAGGGCCAGACGGCCTCAGGCGGGCACTGAGGAGGGGCCTAGTCCAGGGGCTCCTGCTTTATCCGGACCGCAGTGGGGGTGGGCTGCGGCCGCCGCTCCTCACGGCACAGCACATACTCGCTGAACTGGGAGGAGTCCACGCCACCCCCACAGGATGCAGCCACACTGAAACCCCTCTGGAACAGCCTTTCCAGCACCTGCCGGGGAAGAAAGAAGGGTCAGCGATGCCCCGCTGCAAAAGAGACTTCCTGGCTTGGCCTTGCGGGCAGGTGGGCATCAGCCAGGGCAAGCCAATCCTCCTGTTCAGACCTCAGGACAGACACCGCCCTGCAGAACCACCAGCTGAGCAACCACGGGAGGGATGGGAGCAGCCAGACCCCGGGTCCCCTTGAGTGACCAAACCTGGGAAAGGCTACCCCATCCTGCCCCTCTCAGGGGTCCACAGCTTGATCCAGAGGCAGAAAGAGACTTGGGGCCCCTTCTCTCTTCTCCAGGGTGTAACCTGCCCCCCCCTCCAGACATGTGGTCCCAGCCCCCCTCCCCCACCACACTGAGGCCTGACTCAATAAAAGAGACCCTGCCCCTGGCCTCTGGGCGGCCACCTGCTTCCCTGAGCTGTGAGTCCCAGATGGTTTGGGGCCTGGGGGCTCATCAGCTCAAGGGAACTCGGGGTGGGGAGGTGGAGGAGGCCTCTTGGTGTCTGAGTCTCTACAGGCCTCCGTGTCCATGTGGGTTTGTACCTCTGTGTGTGTGGGGGGGTCTCATCACTGTCTGACACCTGTGTCCCACGGGTAGCAAGTTCTGACTGACAGCCTGTGGAATGTGTGCATGGGAAGAGCGGGGAGGAGCAATCCCCTCCCCCCCGTGTCCACTCCGCCCTAAGCCTGAAATAGGAGTCTGCTCCTGGGTCTGGAAGAGCTGGTGCAGAATAGGCCCCATCCCTCTGGGGTTCCCCAGCTCTGAGACCCATCTGAGGAAGGCCAGCTCAGAATGGCTCTGGGCAGCCATCTGGGTGCGGTGGCTGCGGGTCAGCAGGGTGAGCAAGGGGGCTCCAGGCCACCTTCGCTCAGCCTCTGACCTGCCCCCTTAGACGGCCTGGGTTTAATTTGAATCGAAAGGCAGACTCTGGGTGTCAAATGAAGCACACTTTGTTGAAAATACTCTGGGCCATTTTTATAGAACATCCTTTTGGAAAAGAAAAAAAAAAAAAGCACAGATCAATTTTTTTAAGTCCATCCCCCAGGCGCCATCATTTAATTATGAGCGGGACATAAATTATGCATTGACACATTGTTGCCTTTTCTGTAAGATGGCACGGAGGGCTTCACCGTTTCAGGGACCGCGCCTCCCTCCACGTATGCCCGCTGCCGCCGGAGGCCCAAGGGGGAAGGCAGGGGGGAGGCGGGGCGGGGCGGGCGCAGCCCTCACCTGCACGGAGTTGAGCCGGCAGTAGCCGTTGAGCGGGAAGCGGATGACGTGCGTGGGGTCCTGGTTCCAGCCGGCGTTGACAGAGTTGCACATGACGTCCCCGGTCTCGGGGAAGACCTCCTCGATGAGGGCCTTCTCGCCGCTGAGCGCAATGCGCTCGCCCAGGTCCGGCGTGACGCGCACCACGAGGCAGTCACAGGCGCGGCTGCGTCGGCGCTGCTCCTGCTCCTGCTGCCAGCGCTCCAGCTCGCGCACCATGGGCTGCAGCTGGTAGTACCGCGCCTCCTCGTACAGCAGGCTGAAGTCCTGCGGGCGCGCGCACAGCGATGGCCGCGGCCGGGGCTGCTCTTCCCCGCTCCGGCCCCCCACGCGCCCTGCCCCCCCCCCCAGGGCTCAGTGCGGACTGCGATGGTCGTACCCATTGTACAGATGGGGAGAATGAGGCACAGCTGAATGTGTACAAGCCCCAGGAGTCTAGCCTTAACCCAAAGGCGGCAGCCGGCGTGCACCCTTGCCAGATAACCTTGCGCTCTTCCATCTGGCCTCAAGTCCCTGGAGCAGAGAGGGGCCTCTGCAAAGACCAAGGGGGCTGGACTAGGGCAGCCTGAGGCCGTGCCTATGGCCTGCGGACCTGCCGCCTTCTTAGAATCCCAGAGAAGAGAGGCTGGGCCAGGCAGAGGGGAGCAGCATCCTCACCTGCCGGGGAGGAGCTCCCAGCCCAGCAGCGAGGCAAAGCAGACCTGCCTGGGTGGGATTTTTGGCACGCTGTCTACCAGCCCTGAGGCCTCTGATCGTCAGTTACTGACCCTGTCAGAGCCTGTTTTACCGTCTATAAAGCGGACATAAACACCCAGCTCAGAGAGGGGGGTGAGGTCTAAGGGGTGACAAAATCTGCCAAGTGCCGGGCCCATGCTGCCCTAGCAGGCAGGCTGAGGAGGTGTCTGGGAGTGGGAAGCCCACCTCCACGCAGCCCACTCCCAGGCTGGCACACTCACACCAACTGTCCCCCAAACACATGCACGCCCATATCTGCCCGGGCCCTGAGTCGCTTAGGACCCCAGGACTTGGGCCACTCACTGGGGGCTGAGCTCAAGGCTGGCTGGTGAACTTGAGGACCCCTGGGGGAGAGGCAAGGAGGCCCAACCCCCAAAGCAGGGCCCACCCCCCAGGCTCTCAGTCCCTTCCACCTGCTGGCCCCAGCCTCTGGAACCACTCAGAGGGAAGCCCAAGTTCTAGCCCCGACCTGGGCCTGTCGTCTGTCAGGGACCCATCCTGTCCCTCCACCGGGGTTCCTCAGGGCTCCCTCCTGGGCGTCTGCTCTCATCCACTCTTGACGTTTTAAATGGTATCTGCACACATTTTCTTATATAGCCCAGAACCTCTCCACCCAATGCCCCACCATCAATTCCATGCAAGAGTGAGATGCAATGCTCCTTCCAGCCTGTCCCATCCCTGGGCCTCCATGCATTCACTCAGGACCCAAGCCAAAGGCCAGGAGGCAGCCTCGAGAGTCCCCTTACCCCCGACCGATTCACACCACGGCCTTCCATGGCCAATGCCTAAACAGAAATCTAATCTGCCACTTTGCTCTATCTTCGCTGCCTCCCACCTGGACCAAGGCCTTTAGGAAACCTTGCTTGGCCTCCTGCTCCCACCCCTCACCCTCACTGCATCCTTCCCCATACAGCAGCCAGGGCTATCCTTCTGACTTGCAAACCTGATTGTCATTCCCTGCTCACAACCCTTCCACTGCATTCCAGGTAAAATGCCAAATGCTGAGCTGGCCACCAAGGTCCCACCTCAAGGGGCAGCCTCCTTTCCCCTCCCACTTCATACAGCCCCAGGCTGACACCTTCTCTCTGGTTCTGGAAGGTACCAAGCTTCTTGCCACCCTGCCCCCTCATCAAGGCCCTTATACTTGTTTGGCCCTGTTCCTCCTTCACCCAGAGAAGCAACCTTCTCTCCAAACCCCCTGGGGCCAGGTTCTCCATGGTTCCCCTTCACCACATTCTCTACTTCTATGGAACATTTGCCCCCCAGGGAATTCATGGTTTGTTTGTTTTTTTTTTTTTTGGTTCAACACCTTTCACTAAATTATAAGTGCTATGGGGACAGGACCTATGTCTGCATATTTCACTGTATCTTTGGCCTGACTTTGGTTGTTGGCACCCAGTATCAGCTGGATGGAGGACAAAACAGCCGCAGGGCCACTAGGTCTCTGGGGGAGGGAGAAAGGGAGGAAGGAAGGGAGGAAGGCAGGCAGGCAGGAAGGCAGGCAGGCAGGAAGGAAGGAAGGGCGGGCATCTGCAGGCCTGAGCTTCCTTCCTCGGGGATCCCCAGTGCCGTGGAGGGGCCCACCATGGAGGTGGGCCTCTCGGAACCAGGTCGGCTGTCCTGGACAGGCTCGCCCCGGGACCTGGGGGTAACCTTTTGTTTAAAAGGTCTGGTTGGTTTGGATCAGGGCTTCCCCTGCAAGCTGCCAACAAGGAACAGATGTGGGAAAGCTCTAACTCCCGTCATTTTGGCCCGTGACCGTCCTTCAGCACGGCAAACGAAAAGGGGTAAGCACCGCTGCTTAATTGTTACACCCTGATAAATAAGCTAAAAATGTGAGAAAACAAAATTAGTTTAGAAAAACTGATTTAGCCCTCGGCTCCACCGTTTAACTTTTTATGGTTGCCATGACGACCACGGGTCCATTTATTAAGTCACAGCGTCCCCTGTGTAATGCCACCGCAGAGGCGGCTCAGGGGAGCTGCCGGCCGCAGACTCACCTTGAAGTCATCCGGGAGCAGCAGCTTGGACGTCCGCAGGAAGCTCAGGACGTAGCGGAAAATCTCCCCATCCCGGTCGATGAAATAATGTTGTTTCAAACTGTCCAGGACGATGGGCTCGGTGCCATTGAAGAGGCGGCTTATTCTGGGAGAGAGGGAGAGGGGGGCGTCTGATGGGAGGCCAGGCCACCCCCCCCCCCGCTGCAGGGGCGAGGGGCCCGACATGCCTAGCTCTGGGACCGCGCCAGGCATCAGGCTGAGGGCCATCAGGCCACAGCCGGGCAGGACACCAGCACACGCTCGGTACCCGGCCGACATCCACAAGCCCCAGCCAGAGACAGACACACCCGGCCGCTTGCACTGGCCTGCCGACACGTTCCAGGCCTGGAAGACCGCAGTGAGACCCAGACACGGCAGCCTCCTTGCTCCACGCACACAAACCCTTGCCAGGCAGACCCACCCAGAAAACTCCCACCAACCATCAGGTACCCCAGCCAGCAGCCCCACGCCCAGTGAACACGGGGAGACCGGGCAAGGCGGTCTCGGGTCACACACACCCACCTCACCCAGCCCACGTGAATGAGCATCAGATGGGACGCGCCTGGGCAACGGGCCCAGCATCCCACGGTCCCCTCCCTTGCAACACGCGAGTCACAGGCAGACCCAGACACACCCAGGCGGAGGCCACACCAGCCAACACCAACCACCCGGAGACACTGCTCGGTACCCTTGACAGAGTCACAGACACACCACGCACAGCCACTCCCTCGGGGGGCCCTAGGGGAGGAAGGGAGGCAGGCGGGGGGACAGCATGTGTGCCTCACGCACTCAACAGTGTGCTTGCACACGAGCTGCGGTGGAAATGTGTACGCACGCACCGCGGTCTATGCTCGGTAGGTGCCCACGCGCCTGTGCGCACACGCACGGAAACAAGCGTGCACCCTGGCAGGACAGACAAGTCTCCTCCCAGCGGCCTGTCCTCTGGAGGGCAGTGGTTCTGACAGAAACCCAGGACCTGCGGGCAGCTCGTGGGGAGCCCCTGCCTGTCCCCGTCCGCTCCAGGGAGGAGGGTTGGGGCCTCTCCAATGCCCACGGCAGGCGGCCCTGTTTGGCTAAGTCTCCTGCTGACCCCAGGCCCGGCTGTGGACAGTTACGGGCCCCAAGGAGGGTGGGGACAGCCAGGAGCTGGACTGAGGAACAGGTGGGGGGCTGGCAGGGTCCCCTCAGGGATGGCCCCTCCGGACACACCTTCAGCAGGTACGGCCACCGACCAGCAAAACCCCGCGGTGGTGACAGTGTGCGTGCACAGCCCGGGAGAGCGGTGGCCCCGGTGTGGGACCAAGGCCTTCCAGCCTAGCCTGCACAGCTGGTGCCTAAGCCCCCCGACTCACTGCCCGCACCAGTGAGGGCCCTCCAGGGAGGCTCCGCTCTCCACCAACAGCCCCGTCCTCTGTGCACTCCAAGTCACCGCTCCTGAGGCCCTACCCTGCCCCGCCATTATGTGCCAGGGCACACGAGCTGGGCAGAAGCTGAGGGCTGAGAATCCCCGAAGCCGCTCTCAGGGCCTCCTGTCCACACTGTCCCCCACTCTGCAGGCCTGGCACCCTCAGGGCATTGGCCGTGCAGTAGCCATGCACTCACCTATTCTCCCTCTGGGGACATGGCCAAGCCCCGGTCCCAGAGAGGCCGTGTGGAGGGCAAGGCTGCCTCACGGATAGGCGTGAGCAGCTCAGAGCTTAGGATGAGGTGTGGAGAGGTCTGGGCCTGTGGAACCAGGACTGCGGTCACCAGATATGACTCATCGGAGGACTCCGAAGGCCACTGAGCCCTATGAACTTCCCAGGCCTGGGGAACAGAGCCCCTGGTGGAAAGCCTTGTGGGCCCCAGACCTGGCCTCAGCAGAGCTTGGGTATCCAGATGTCAGAACGAGGGCCGTCCAGCACCCGAGAGGCAGATGGGACTGAGCAAGGCTGCCTGGTCCCATGGGCAGCCCTCCCCAGACAGAGGAGGGCCCACATGGCACTGGCAGGAAGAAGGAAGAACCACATCCACAGGCAAGCCAGACCAAAGCCTCAGCCTCCCTGTGGAACTTTCTCCACCCTTCCTGGTTGAGCTCAAACCCTCTATGCAGCAAACAATGTTCTAGGCTGGGCTATGGTGCAGATCTCTCTGATGCCAGGGCTGGGCTCCACACCATCCTATTGGTCTAGGGGACTCCTGACCACCCCACATTCCAGGGCTGGTTGGGTTCTAGGCTGTCTTATTGGTCCAAGGCTAGAAGGTTCTCAATTGGCCTTATTTTAAGACTAGTTCTAGCTATTACCCTCAGTGTCTCTTCCAAGGACAAAGGCCTTTCATGCCCTCGGGGTCTGAGGCTAACAAGGATGTGAGTAGGTTGAGGACAGGTTAGGACAACTGCCACAAGAGGACCCCCCTCTACCGCCCCCACCCCCGGCCCCCTGGCAGGGTCTTAAGAGCAAGATTTGGGGGTGCCAACTTCAGAAGCCCTTCATGGAATAATCTGGCCAGTTCTGACCCCAGCTGACGGAGGTCTTCTTTTTTTTTTTTTTAAACCTTTGGCTCCAATTTCCTGCATGTTTCAGGGGAAGGTTTTATTAGTCCTGGAGTGCCTGGCTTAATTTGCCGCTTCCCACGGCCAGCACGGGCACCAGCTTGGGACTGTTATGGCAGCAGCTAATGGCTGTCCGGCAGGGACGGGCGAGGTAGCAGCCCAGGGGAGGCCACTTGCAGCCCTGGGCAGCCATGCCCTGCTCTTTCTGGTTGCGGGCTAATGGCAGCATCTGCTCCCTGTTGTCGGAGCCCCCCCGCCCTCTGCCGAGGAGCCGAGAACCAGAAGCCTGGGCACAGTCCTGTGGGCTCAGGGACCCACGGCTGTGGGGCACCAGCCCCCTGATCTCACGGCACTGCCCAGGTGGGACTTGCCTGATATCCAGAACCCCCCCACCCGGGGTGACCTCAGCACTCTTAACTTCTCTTTCTCCTGGTGACTCATGCATCAGTGCCACTCGGTGAGGGACTGATCTTGGTTTCCAGAATTGGGGAAAAAATGTTTTTTAATTTTAATGACTCACTTAAAGAAGGACGAGAGAGATGTGAGGGGCTCTTGCCAGCACAGCTGCCCAACCCACTTCCCAGGCCCGGCCTGACCCACTGTCCCCTGACTGTCCTACGGGTCACGCCACCCCTTGGCCTCTAGGCCAAAGCTTCAGGCCCAGGGAGCAGCTCTGCCCTGAGCCGGAAGCCATCCAGGCAAGAAAGAGGGATTCATCTCAGAGCCCCAGCCTTGGAGAAAGAATGCAGACCGCCACCCCCTCTGGGCACGTCCTGCTGCCGAGGGTCCCACATGCCGGATCATGGGGCCACAGGGGGCCTCAGCCCCCCAGTGAGAGGGCCTGCCCCACACCGAAGAGCAGGAGGACGGGCAAGGACGAGCAGCACTGTGGGTATGGGAGTGGGGGGGAGGGCTGCCCCTGCCCTTGCTGATCCCAGGCGGTAGCCCTGAAGACAAGAATGAGGCAGCCGCTCCCCGCAGGCCTGAGCTGTGATTACTCTAGAAAGGCAAGTGTCTGATTTCAAGAAACACTCTTCAGAGAGGTTGTGGGCAAGGGTTTTATGAATTTCACTCACAAACGTCGTCAACCGATTAAGGGATGATCTATCTCAAACAACTCGGGAATGCCGCAGAAGGCAAAATTGAAATTAAATAAGCAGAATCCATCTCCCATCCTAGACAGAGCTCTGCAAGCGAGCGCGCAGGCCGGCACTGCCGGTGGGGCCTCATGGCTGCAAGCGCCAAGTTCACAAGCGCCCCAGGCCTAGGCTCTGTTGTGCTGAGGGCGTGGGTCCAACTGCCATCTGTAGCCCGGGCTCCCCAGATTCCGAACCGGACGCTATATCCGCCTCCAGCACCGGCTCCTCGAGGGAGCCTTCCTGCCCCCGTGGAGAGCTCCACCCCGGCCCTCCTAAGGTGCCATGCGCTCGGAAGCCTCGGCGCTGAGCCACCGCGCCGGCGACAGACGAGAAAGCTTCCCAGAGATGATCCCTCGGTGTCTGGGGGCTTAATTAGCTCCTCTTGTTTTTTTTAAATGTATAAAACAAGGGCAATACCCTGCAGCCTTGGCCCTCCTGCTGCTCAGCCCTCCATGGTGGCTGCCTCGCCGTGCCAGGAGCAAGTAGCACACCGCGTCACTTCCAGGAGATGCTCAGAGGCCCGTCCCAGCTCCGGTCAGCCCTGCTGCTATGCCAACAGGAAGCCATGTCTGCCCCTGGGAGGGTCATGCCCAAGCGGCACCTCCTGGCACCTCCCACAAATGGGCCCAGGAGCCAGGAGCTGCAGGGAGCCGGGCGGAGAGCAAGGTGCCCTGTTGGGAGGCTCCTGGTCAGAGACACTTCGTCTGCTGATGGGGGTATGAGGCTCATGCTCATCCACAGCCCTGGATATGCCTGAACATCCTGGAATTCCTAGCTAGTCACCGCCCGCCCAAGGGAGCCTCTAGCAGGGGCCACTCCAACAGACAAAGATGGCAAATTGCAACCCCCACTCCTCCCTCCCTTTCTGTACTTAACCGAGGGTTAGAGCAGGAAATAGGATTAGATACTTCTCTCCAACACCATCCCGAGGCGGACGAAGCATGGCTCACAAATGATCTCAGTCTCAGTCCCGAGGAACCTGAAGGCCCTTTAAGACTCCCCAGCCAGCTGCGGGCCGGTTTCAGGTGGGCCTGGCTCCGAATGAGGGGCTTCTGCCGGTGAGTCAGGAGCTCCACCTGGCACTTTCGATGCCACCAACACAGGGTCGCAAGTCCCTGTATAAAGCATCTTCCGAGAGGCAGCCTTGGCCTCCCGGCCCCTAGGTGCCACAGGTCTGGGAGAGCAGGTGGGCCCCGGAGAGCCTGCCTGGTGGCTGGCAGAGGAGACGGACCCCACTGGCGGCCGGTGGCCCCTGCTGCCAGGAGCCACGGCACGCCTGGTGCCACGTGGGGCTTGGCTCTTACCTGGAGTCGGGGTACTTGGTGAGCGTGGCCAGACTGCTGGTGTACATGTGGCCACCCACGTCGATGTGCACAGGTGCATTGGACTTGGTGAGCTGGGCTGGCAGTGGGATGCCCTGGGCGGCCAGGGGAGACACGGGCGACCGGGTAAGAGATAACCGGGACATGCTTCCTCCCTCCTGGAGATGGAGACAAGGTGAGAACAAGAGTTGCTCCACCACAGAGCCGTGCACTCCCTTTATTGCCAATGTGATCACAGATCTAATCAGATCACTTCTGCCTGTGCCTGATCACATATTCAGCTGACAAATTATGGCCACCGCTGTAATTAAGTGTATTTGCATCATTTTCTTCCAAGTACCAGAGGGAAAAAAGAAAGATGCTTATTAGCAATAAGAAATCAAGAAAAAAAAAATTTTCAAGGTGTCAGCCTCCAGGGGCATAAAACAAACTGCAAAATTCTAATTAAAGGTCGCGGGCTTATGTGTGAGATGTGAAATATCCCCTGACAAACGAATCACCAATTTGTGAATTGGGATTCAGGGGTTTTTGCAAGTTTGTCTCAGTAACGAGACACCTCTAAATTAGTGACTTCCTCAGCACCTAAGGCGTTGAGTTTTATCCATGTAGTAAATTTCACATCAAATTAAGAGCATTTTTGTTTCAAAAAATACGTAATCATACAGCCAGTCAACAGCCATCTCTTGAAGGCAGTGGCTGTGGGGACGGGTGGCCGGTGAGCAGGCAGGCGTTGGGGAAAAGGGCAGAGAGGGGGCCACCGGCCGCTGCCCCAGCCCACCCCGCTGGCTCTCACCGCGGTGCTGGCGCTGCCGTGGGCATGAAGCGAGGACCCGCTCGGCCGCTCCTTGCGGTGAGGCATCTAGGCTTCCATCGCTGCCCAGAGTATCTGTGGGGAGCACCGACAAAACCACAGGGCTTTTACTCCTCCGTAGTCCCAGATTCAAAGATGCTCGGAACCATCCTTTCCGCCTGTGCTCTCTGGGACCCCCACACCACACAGCCCTCTCCGGGTTCCACCCGCCACTACCCTGTCCCCATGCTCCAAAGCCCTAGCAGCTTACGCACACACACGCACGCACGCGCACGCACACATGCACGCACACACACGCATGCACGCGCGCACCCACACATGCATGCACACACTCACACACGTGTTTTCTGGGCAGCTCCACGTCTGCTAATTCGGTTAATGACAATACTAAAGCATATGCTCACCATTACTGCCCCAAAATGTTTCAGAACAAATCTGATTTTCCTGGTATTTTGGTTCAGAGCCACGTTACCAAGCGTGTCTCCTCTTGCATCAGCAGAGAGCCCCGTGGACCACAGCTCAGGGAGGATCCCCCAGCCTCCATGGGCTGGGGAGCCCGGGACCTCTCTGAACACCGTCTCCACCGTGGTTAAGATGCAGTTTGTGAACGGCCAGACACAGAGCAGCCTCCTTTGGCAGAAGCCAGGGGAAGAGCAAAAGTCACGCAGGAAGCCACCTCTTCCCTAGGGCGCCTGAGAGAGGAAACTTGTCTTTGTTTGCCTAGCCCGCACCTCTGCAGTTTCTCCCCAGACCCGCAGGACGGTCTTATCTGTGCCTAATGTATTCCAGATCCCCTCGGGATCACACCCCCCCAAGGCATTAGAGAGCTGCCAGCAGGAAACAGACAGCAGCTCAGCAAATGGACCCTCTCTCCTACTCCTCCCCAGTCACTTAGCGACCTTCCTCTATGCCACGACCACCTGAAATAAGACTGTCCCTCAGTCGCTAGAAGCCACCCTACGACACTGCTGGAGGAGTGGTGGTCTATGCAGCCCCTTACATGGACTTGAGGCTGTCTCCTGGGGCACAGTGAACACCCACACCCACCCACCCACCCACCCACCCACCCACCCACACGCTGGCCCCCGCAAGCCTAACCTGGACTTAGCTCTCACAGGTTTGACTTGTGTCTTGAAATTCACCCTCCAATTTTAAAACATAACCAAGGTCCAATGCGCATCATCAATCCTGCCAATTTAAGTAAGGTTCCTCTCCTAGGATTTGTTCTGCCTTGGGTGTCCTGGCCAGTTCCCTGACCCGAAACTGGCGTGGGGGTGGGGGGTTGCTATTAGACGGTGATGTTTCATTGATACGCCCACTGGGGGCTACTCAGGGTCTGCTGCTCGTGGCATTCCTGACTTCTGGCCAGCTCAGAAAAGCAGGTCACTTATCTCAAGGAAGTTCTCAGAGACCAAAACAGACCTCAGGATGGGTTATGCTGCCCTGGGAGGCTCTGCTGGGGGAGGAGTCAGAAGGAAAGCCACACTGAGGATAAACTGTGCTGGAAGGAATTCCGATGGAAATTCTATCAAAGCGGACTGCGCAATGTTTTCCCAACTACCAGAAACACGACTCAAGTGACATTTAACACCAAGTACCCATCACAAAAGCTCTTCAGTCCTTGCTCTCATCCAAGCCTCTTTTCCATCACAAGCGCAACCTGATGTTCATGGCAAAGCAGAAACTCACCATTGGAAGCCCCAGGCTTTACGCCTCGACCAGAACCTCCAGTGCTGCCTCCGGCAAACGCATCTGTGCTGGACAACGACCTTTCCCCGACACCACTGCTGAGGTCAGAAGCACAAAAGTGGGTGCAGTAAGAGACACAAGTTCAGTCCTTCAATGCCACCAGCAAACTCACGACCCCACGACCCAGCCCCAGCGCGCCGCGGCCCTCCCGAGGCTCGCCCAAACCGCCTGTTGCAGGGGCCTCCGCGGTGCAGTGTGAGCTCCGCGGGCCTGCGGGACTCCAGACTGGCTAGGTATTGACCTGCTTCTCGGAGCTGCGGTGGGAGCCCCGGGTCCAGTGCCCGCCCGCCGCCGCCGAGCCCCGCCCGCCCGAGCAGAGGGAAGCGAGCAGAATGCCACGCTCATTTACACACAAAATGATTTTGTGTCCCATTGTGCTCGCAGTTGTTCAGCTCTCTGGGGGTGATTAAACTGGCTGAGCTGCGGCAGCTTGAGACGATTTCACTAAATCGCTTCTTCGTGAAGTCGCTTCTTTGCTAAGCTGTTATTTTAACCATAAAAGGTAAACAGAAGGCGCCTCGCGAGCTCCCTTCAGCTCTGCGCCCTGGGCGCCAGCCGCGGGCGAGAGTGCCAGGGGCCTGCAGAATTGTCCGGGGGGGTGGGGGGTGGGGGGCCCCGGAGGGGGGCGGGCGTGCCACCTGGTGCGCGCCAGCCCCGCCGCAGAGCCCGCCGGCCGGTGTGAACTTCGGGGCGGCCAGAGCCGGCTGGGCCAAGGCCGGCGGCGCCGCGGAGCGGGGGTGGCCACGGAACCCGAAGTGCCTGGCAGGGCGGGGAGGGGTGTGCGGCGGGGGCGGGGCGGAGGACAAAGTTAAATCAAAAGGCAGACACTTAGAGACCACAGATGGGAAGCTCGCCTAATTAAGGACGTAAAAGCGCTTTTGTTCTCAAAGTTTATTGTTGCCGGGATTTAAAAAAAATTAATTGAAACTAATGCTGTTATTCACTCGTGCAGTTAAATTCCTTCATGCACATTTGAGACACGGAGTGAAAACTTGAAGCTTATCTTTCTGCAGTCGAGGCGGGGGGCGCGGGAGCACGGAAAGGCGTTTCGGCTACGGGAGAGGGGCGTTTGCGAGTGTGTGCCCCGTGCGCGCGTCCAGGTCAGGGACTACCCGCGGGCAGCCCGAGCCGGAGGCGGCCACCGCGTCTCCGTGCGGCCCGCGCTGGGCCCCCGACCCCGCGCACCTGGGACCACCACCAGCTCGCCGGCCCCTCCCGCCCCGTCTGGGACTCCCGGGGTGGGCGTCAGAGGACGCACATCTGTCCCGTTAGAGACTTTTTCTGATTTGGGCGCCAAGCCGGGCCCTGTGCGCCCCGAAGCCCCAGCTGCGTGAGCCCGGTTCTGACCCCGGAAACTCGCTGGCCCTGCAGGGCGCTCGGCCCTGCACTGAGGCCCGAGTGCGGGGACCTGCAACACCCCCCCACACACACATCCCGCCCCGCGCGGCCGGAAGCTCGGCGCCCGCCCGCGTGGGGAGGGTCCACCCGGGGCCAGGGCCAGCCCACGTGGGCAATCCCCCCTCCCGCGCCAGGCCTTTGTGCTGGGTGCCCCCGCGCCGCCAGCCCCCGCCGCCCGGCACCGGGACAAAGCAGCTGCCCCCACCCAGGTCCGAACCCCAGCCGAGCGACTTTCTCGGTATCGCCGCCACTTTGGGGACAGGGGTGCGCGGCGCTGAGCGGTGGCCGCCCGCGCGGGGCTTACCTCGGAGCCGGAGCGCCGGATCCGGCTCGGGCGCAGCCCCCGCCCCCCGCAGTCGCCGGTCTCGGGCGCCGGGCGCAGCCTCGCCGCCTATGCTCGCTGCGCGGGTCGCTCCGGTCTCGTCCTGGAGTTACTTTCTCTCTCGCCCCCAACCCTCCCCCCACCCACCCCTCCCGCCCCGGCCCCCGCTTCGCGCGGCCCCTCGCGGCGCGGCGCGCCGGGGCCTCCCCTCCCCGCCCTCCCCTCGCCTCCTCCCCTCCTCGCGGCCGCCGCCGCCGCCACCACCGCCGCCTCCTCTTCGCGCCGCTCTCCGGCTGCCCTCCCGCCGCTCCCACCTCCTCGCCTCCCTCCTCTCTCTCTCTCTCTCTCTCTCCAGCGGCCTTCCCTGATTGCTGGCGAGAAAATCAGCCCCCCACCCCAGTCCGTAGCCCGCGCCCCGTCGCGGCCCAGCCGGGACGCAGAGGGCAGCGATCGGCCCCAAATTACCCAGCGCGGCGAGCGCGAGCGGGAGCGCGCGGCGACTCCTGGCTCGGGGCTCGGCTGCGCCGCGGGGCAGAGGATTAGAGTCGCAATTAGCTCCGCGCGCCCGCGCCTGCCGCGCTCGGCGACAAAAATGCGCTGTTTCCCCTCCTTTCGCCGGGCGATCCCCACCCGCCCCTCCCGGAGCCCGCGCCTTCCCGCCGGGGCCTCCGCCAGGACCCTCCCGGGAGCGGTGCGCCCGGGCCCCCGCGCCCTCCGCCGCCCAGCCCCCCGCCCCCCGCCGGCCGGCCACGCGGCGCCCGGGCCTCCTCCGGGCTCGGGAGGGGGCGGGGGAGAAGCTGATTTTAATCATTGTCATTTCATCTGATGTAATATTTCCCCGGGCGCTTTCAGCTGGGCATAAATTTTCGGCTCCCAAATAAGTAACACAGGGCACGTTTCTCACATTTCTTGACTCTTCGGTTACAAAGAGGAGAGCAGCCGCCGCCGCGGCGCCCGGGGGTAGGGGCGGGACTTGGGAAGAAACTGGGCTGCGAGTCGGCCGGGCTGGAGCGGAGCCGGGGGCCAGGGCCGCCCCTCCCCCTCACGGCCTCCCTCCCCGGGTCTCGGCCCCGACTGCCCCTCTGCCGGGGAGCAGCGGCGCCCGTGACGTCTGCGGACACGCGGTCGGCCACCGCGGGGGAGGGGCGCGCGGGGGGCGCCCAGCCGGTCGCCCGCGGCCAGACGCGCCATTTCCTCTCCGCGCCCGGCGCGGCGGAGACGTTTGCGGCCAAGACTCCCCCGGGCGCCGAGGCCAGCGCCCGGGGCGTCCCTCCCAGGTCCCCCGGTCGGCTGCCCCTTCCTCCTCCTCTCCTACCTCCTCCCCCCTTCCTCTTTCTCCTCTTTCCCGTGCGCCCCGCCCGCTCCCCCCCCACCCCCCAACTCCATTTCCCGACTCCTAGGAAACGGAGCGCGGAGTCTCCAGCGCGCCTGGCCTGCACTGCGCCCCCGTCCGGCTCCGGGGACGCCCGGGCCAGAGGCAGGCTCGGGCTGGAGGGCGGGTGCGCTCCCGCCGGGAGCGGCGCGGGGGCCCCCACCCGGAGCTCTGCGGGACCTAGACGCCCTCTAGCGGCCTCGATCACGGAGCGGGGCGGGGGGGGGCGGCCCGGGGCTGGGGTGGGGGGCGGGGGGCGCTGGTGGCAGAAGGACCAAGTCAGGGCCTGCTTCCCTTCACTAGGGCACCTCGCGCGTGGTAAGAGCGCCCGGACAGCGCTTCTGTAACTTCTCCACGCGGGAATAAGCAGAAACTTTCCTCCTAAGGGAAGGTTTTATTTATTTATTTATTTTAGAGCTCGAACTACAGGAGAAGGGGGAAATTTTCTCATTAAAGTTACATCCCTGCAGTTAGTTCAATTACTTGATATATGCAGAAGATGTTGTAAATTTATAGATTTAAATAGCTTACAAAGATGCCGCAGGCCCCATCAGTTAATTTCCTTAATTTATGGATTTTTAGCGGCTCCTAGAACAGAACGGGGGCCTGGAAGTAGGTCAGGGATCTGTGCAGCGGCTCCATCGGGGCCCACGAGCTGCCCACTCAGCTCCCCACGCCCTGGAGTCTCCGGGCTTCTGGCTCCTAGCTCTGACCTGGCAGCACCACTCTCTGCTCTCTGCACTGGGGCCAGGTCAGCCCAGGCCCGGGAGGTCTACCCTCCTAGGTGGCCGACTGCCCCAGCCGCTCCGGAACAGCAAAGTCACCCATCCACATTCACCCCACCCAGCACTGAAGGAACGGACCCACACTGGAAGTGAAGCAAGTGTCCAAATACTTCGACCTCCTGAGTCCTCCTTTAAATATGGGGCTGGGATCACAAACGGAGCAGGGCGTGGATACCTACCCCAAACTTCTTCCGGGACAGAACCTACCCCATTTCCAGGTCTTTGAGTGTTTGAGGGAAGGGGAGCATATGGAAAAACGCACCAGGCTCCTGTTTGAGGAGCAGACACACTGAAAACCTACTTGTCATGGCCCTTGGGGCCCCTGGTGTCCCTCACTCCTCCCCCACCCTCTCCTAGGTGCCAGCTAGAATGGCTTTGTTTTGTGTTCAACATGGATGAATATATACATATAAATTCATACTTAAAAGATTGGTATAAACCAAACTGTTTTAGGAAGCCACATGGTGATATGTTTAGTGTTGGTATTCATGATTTAACATTTCTTTTCCCACTAGATGAAGTTTCTAAGATTTGCAAGGTACATGTCAAGGACGGGTGTATAAATGGATTTTTATTTATTCACAACTCCAAGACTAATTGCTTCTCTTTGCCTCAAGGCCATGAGATTGGTTTTAATATGACACTTCAAAAGTATTCCTGGAACTACAGAGATACTAAGTGTCATTGTTTAAGAGACAAATGTCACTGTGGTACTGGTGACCCTGAAAATAGGATGTTCCACTTTATTTTAAATTCCTGCATGTTTTTTTAAGGGTTTCACTTTATACCAACTATATTAAAAATGCACAACTTAATCAAAACAAGAACTGACCATTTTGCAGGACCTTTATTTCCTTAATATTGCTGGGAACTTTGTTTTCGTATTCCTGAATCCTTTTATTAAAGACCTGAACTTTATACGTGTCATTAGAAGAGTAAGTTTGGGTCATAATTTATTCTCAAGTGTTTTAAAAGTTCCCAGTTAAATGTCAACCATCTTTTGCATTAAAAGACTTGGGCATGGATTGTGATAGGCATTTAATGATCTGTGGTATATCATGCAATGGCGAGGCTTTTTTTTTTTAATTGAAGATGTATAATTAGGAAACATCTTGTGAAATACATCTCATTTCACTACTGTGGTCTGAGAGACAAAATTGGATGTGAGTCTAATCAGAATGTAACTTGCTTTATCAGTAGATTGAACTAGAGCTTACGCCATTATGGTTCATATTTTAAAAAGCGGGTTCAAACCTGTGTTTCCTTTGAGGCTCCTCTGCAGGTGCTCACGTGAAGCACCCTGCGGGTGCCAGGCCCTGCATCCAGATCCTGCAGACAAGACCTTAGTCCCCAGATGTTTCATAGTGACTTCCGGTGCACTTTTGTACTTTGTCGTTGCTGTTTGCTGATAATGGTTAGAAATGAGGACCTCAGTAAGGAAAGTAAAATGAGCTCAAAATGAGATCCCAGAGTCTGCTGGACTAACTTGGCCTTCTCAGGAAGGGTGCGATCAGACTGACAGCAGATGAACAGGCTGAGACACAGCTGCTGCCCCCCATCCTGGGGTGCAGGGAATGCCGGGATGTTACAGCCAGGCTATCTCCTCCCCCAACCCCAGGCCCCCTAGGCTGAAAGCCTGGCCCTCCTAGGTCTGTGCCCACATCGAGGCTCAGAGATGGCCCCTGACCAGGATAGGATGGAGCTGGCCTGGCTCAGAGATCAGTCTCACATCCACGTGGCCTCCACCCCAGAAATCCCTCCTGGTTAGGACCTCAGAGAACCTGGAGAGCTGAAACATGTGACTGTCAGCTGTGGACCCACTTCCTGGAGAGTGGAGGTCCAAACCTGTCCTGGGGTGGCAGTGGTGGTGGGGGGGTGACAGAGTGCCCCTACCTGTCCTTGAAACGGATAAAATACAACCAGCCTGCTCTCACGGAGGTCTGCCCACTCCCCAGCACTATGCTCAGGGGCACTTATGGTTTCTGGTGGGACAGAAAGCAGGGATTGCCTCTGGGTGTTACAGACCACCTCATCCTTCCTGCCTTCCACCTGGTGGTCTGCTCAGCACTGAGCCAACCTGCTTTCCCAGAGAGCCGGCATGGGGGGAGACAGTAATGACCAAAGACTGAGATCTCCTGACCAGGCATTTCTTACCTAGTGGTAGCCTGTGGATGGCCTCTGGGGGACCAGGAGATCTCCCCACCACCCCCCACAATTGCTCAACACTCTGCATCTGAGCCTTTTTTTCCAAGGGAAGTTTCATTGTTTTTACCAGATTCGTCTATGTGAACATGGGTGCAAATAACCAAACCTTCAAGATGGGGAAAGCTGATTGTCTCACAAAATGGCAAGTGGAGTCTGAGTGGCTTAGCAGTGTATTCAAGGACCCAGGCTACCCTCCCTCACTCTACTCTGCGGTCCTCCACACATTGGCCTGTCCTCACACCTGTTCCTCTCTGGTCTCAAGATTCATGTAGCTCCAAGCTTCATACCTACTTGGCGAGGCATGGAGAGCAGGGAAAGGATCCCATTGGCCAACTTACAAGCCAGTCGCTGGGAAGGGGATTAGCTTGGACCAATCAGGTTTAGCCCTTGTCCTGTGCAGCCAGCGTTGCTGCCCTGAGCACTGGGGAGGAAGATGGACCCTGGGCACAGTCCAGGGGGGAGGAGGGGAGAATGGACTCGGTTCTGGGGGCTGCAGCCCAGGGAACACTGAGCTGGAAGGAAGGTAGAAGCTAAAGAGTGAAGAGAGGCCCCAAGCCCCAAAGGCACCTCAGGGGAGCTTAAAACAGCTATGCTACTCCAGGTCCTCCTTCCCAGGAGACACCGGACCCAAACATGGAGGTGGCCTGGCAGAGCAAGTGGCCTGGGGCCGGCTGCATTAGTAAAGTCCCGAGGTCCTCCCAGCAGGCGGTTAGGGCGTGGGGGATGAGGCTGTTCCCTGTTCCCTGAGCAGCACCTGTGCCGTGGTTCAGGAGGGCAATG